CGATTCATTTTTTTTTCATGTCAACAGCTTGTGTGTCAGAGCACGACTCAGTTGCCTTGACGGACGGAAAGCATCCATTGCTTGCTTACTCTGCGTTTTCTGCGATTGACCGGCACCCCAGCATAAACCATCCTAGCAAACCAAATTCATGGCACCCATTCTACAGCCAAATCACTGATTTTCAATGGCAGACGCCTAGCGTGCCAGTACCGCATCTTCTCTTCCGGTACCAGCCACGTGAGTCGGTTATATGCTGCCCGGTTGGTCGCAAGTACGCCTTCGAACCAGCATCGTCTGAAGGTGAAAACAACTGTCACGAAATGTGCTGTGAATTGTATCCTAGAAAACAAGTCTCTGATCAGGCATCTATCCCAGCTAAAAATGCTACAATCAATGATCGACGAGTCCTTGTACACGAAACGGATGTCCGCGTTAAGCATGAAATAGATGAGGACCAGGAGGCCTTTCAAAGCAGACCACCTGGAATTGATAACAGCCAATCAACGCTCGCGTCCTACCCGACGCAACTCTTTGCTACCAACAAACACATGAAGACTGGGTCGAGTGTATCTGTCATCTCCTGGACTCCTAACCAGGCTTCCTGTAAAGAGTGCCCCACCAAGATTTCCCAAGCCTTCACTCCACCAGTAAACAAATACAGCCAGTTGAACGAGTGTGTAGATCTGGAAGGGGGCAAAAAGCTATCACCCGTCGAAGAGATGCCCAGTGAGCGTCAGTTGCTAGAGAAGGTTACCGAAGTGTCCAACAACAGTCTTAGTGTAAACTGTGTGGATCAAAAAGCAAATGGCTCGTTTGAGGTTAAACATTTTCCTGCAACAGTACCTACTCGGGATCAAGACATGTCAGTTGATGGTCATCACGATCGTCCAAAGTCCAAATCCAAGCACGTGTGTGATGAGTGTGGCAGGACATTTACTCGCTCCAGTACACTGCTCACCCACAAGCGCATTCACACTGGAGCCAAACCGTACGTGTGCCAGCAGTGTGGACGTGCCTTCAGACAGCTGGGTAACCTATCCCGTCATCAGCTTACCCACACAACGTCCAAGCCATACGTTTGCAAGCAATGCAACAAGGCCTTCAACCGCGCCTCTAACTTGCACACGCACATGCGCACTCACTCTGATTACAAGCCCTTCTGCTGCGATTTCTGCGGCAAGCGGTTTCACCAGAAAGTCGACATGAAGATTCATCGCTACACTCACACAGGTGAAAAACCACATAAGTGCCAGAAATGTGGGCGTGGATTTAAACAGCTGACACACTTGACCTACCACATGAGGACGCATTCCGAGGTACGCATGTACAAGTGTGAGTTCTGTGGCAAGGGCTTCAACCAAAAGGGGAATCTGAAAGCGCATGTGTACCGCCACACGGGTGAACGACCGTTCAAGTGCGACATATGTGGTAAAGGTTTCACTCTAGCATCCACGCTGAATACGCATAAGAGAACGCACGCCCCTCATAAGCCATTCAACTGCCTATTTTGCGAGAAGGCGTTCTATCAGAAGAACGCTCTGAAGTCACATTACATTGCATCACACCCCTTCACTGGAGGAGTTTCTTTGTTGTAAAATGTTACTTGGGCGAGAACTTAACATAGCCAAGTATTTTATGCAAATTTTAATAAGGTTTGGGTCGTGGAAAAATAGAAAATGTCAAAAAGGTATACGGTGTATGTCAGTACTTGTATACATGTATAAAAAGAAAAACGTTATGAGTTTTTATAAAACGCAACCTCTTCCCCTATTTCGGAGGAAAACGTACTGTAAGCCGCAAGCCATATAGAAATTTTCAGTCTGCTATACATTTTATGATACAGTTTGACGATATGTGTTCTTTACTAAGAACACATGTCATCAAACTGAACTGTTTCTCATTTCATTGTAATAAAAATAGCCATCAGCTGTACTTTACTTTACCTTATGTTGTAAAATTTCTCTTTTTTCTTAGAAAACTCTGTTAGCTGTAGTTTAAACAACAGCATATTTTCTTATAGCATTTAATTCAAAATTTAAAAGCAAAACGAATAACCCAAAGTGAAAAGTTGAGTATTAAATTTTCAGTTTATTAAATAACAGAAGTTGCAAATGTCTCATATTAATTATGACAAGTCTTGACACATACCACTTTTAATTTATCTCGAATAATCTGGAAAGTTAGACCTCGTCCCGTCTTATACCTTCAGTCGTTAATTAGCAGAACCAAAACTAAACTGCAATTCGCATAGTCCGAAAAACGAACTGATTTTTTAAGAAAACTGGCGAAATACATTCTTGGAGACCCAGAACAAAATCAAATTCAACCTCGTTCCCAGGTTTCTCTCCTACCCGTCCCTACGAGTAGGAGAGAGAACCTGGGAACGAAGTTGAATCAAAGTAGGCAAAGCTTACAACAATAACAGAAGAGTCTAGGCACATTATCCTCGTGAACCGAACCACTCCTAGAAGAATTTTAAGCCGAGAAACATTTTTTGACCGATTAGAAGCAGAGTCCTTTATGACAAATCAGAAGCAATATTCTTCTGGAAAAATCCCGTGTATATCGCAAAAATCCCGTGTATATCGAAAAAGGTTTATTGCAGGTTGCTAAGTTCCGGTATGGACAAGAAGCAAGATTCCACTTTTCATATCTTTTGCTTTCTTCTCCCATGCACTATCTTTTTCTTTTTTTGCCTGGGATTCACGACAATAATAAATGAAATACTATGTGTGGAGAGAAGAACACAGAAAAAATTCTGCGCTCCAGATGGGAATTGAACCCACGACCTTCCGTACACTAGTCGGATTCTCTAACCACTGAGCTACTGAGAACTCAGTGGTGAGCAGGTCAGTTGTGGGCTGACATAACTACCGCATCGCGCAGTCACATTTTGTCAAGTGAACACACAATATTAACTGCATCGCGCAGTCACGTAAATACTCTATGAGCAATGAATAAGATATGAAATGAGAGAGACAAGGTTCACGACAAGGTGATCGGTATACATGTTTCCTCGAAAGCCCCGAAGATACTGAATATAATTATTTGAAAGGAAAGGGTTGGTAGTGCAAAAAGATTTGCATTGAATTTTCCCGTCAACTTTACATTTTTTGGGAGTTTTTCTCCGGCCATTTTGACTTATCAACGGTTGTCTACCGATGACGTCATTAGTGGTACATGGGACAGGCATCACGCCCGGGCGGTTTAGGAGTGAATGGGTTTCATAACTGACTTATTGGTTCACGGATTTATATAACTATGTTCGATTCATTTTTTTTTCATGTCAACAGCTTGTGTGTCAGAGCACGACTCAGTTGCCTTGACGGACGGAAAGCATCCATTGCTTGCTTACTCTGCGTTTTCTGCGATTGACCGGCACCCCAGCATAAACCATCCTAGCAAACCAAATTCATGGCACCCATACTACAGCCAAATCACTGATTTTCAATGGCAGACGCCTAGTGTGCCAGCAACGCATCTTCTCTTCCGGTACCAGCCACGTGAGTCGGTTATATGCTGCCCGGTTGGTCGCAAGTACGCCTTCGAACCAGCATCGTCTGAAGGTGAAAACAACTGTCACGAAATGTGCTGTGAATTGTATCCTAGAAAACAAGTCTCTGATCAGGCATCTATCCCAGCTAAAAATGCTACAATCAATGATCGACGAGTCCTTGTACACGAAACGGATGTCCGCGTTAAGCATGAAATAGATGAGGACCAGGAGGCCTTTCAAAGCAGACCACCTGGAATTGATAACAGCCAATCAACGCTCGCGTCCTACCCGACGCAACTCTTTGCTACCAACAAACACATGAAGACTGGGTCGAGTGTATCTGTCATCTCCTGGACTCCTAACCAGGCTTCCTGTAAAGAGTGCCCCACCAAGATTTCCCAAGCCTTCACTCCACCAGTAAACAAATACAGCCAGTTGAACGAGTGTATAGATCTGGAAGGGGGCAAAAAGCTATCACCCGTCGAAGAGATGCCCAGTGAGCGTCAGTTGCTAGAGAAAGTTACCGAAGTGTCCAACAACAGTCTTAATGTAAACTGTGTGGATCAAAAAGTAAATGGCTCGTTTGAGGTGAAACATTTTCCTGCAACAGTACCTACTCGGGATCAAGACATGTCAGTTGATGGCCATCGTCCAAAGTCCAAATCCAAGCACGTGTGTGATGAGTGTGGCAGGACATTCACTCGCTCCAGTACACTGCTCACCCACAAGCGCATTCACACTGGAGCCAAACCGTACGTGTGCCATCAGTGTGGACGTGCCTTCAGACAGCTGGGTAACCTATCCCGTCATCAGCTTACCCACACAACGTCCAAGCCATACGTTTGCAAGCAATGCAACAAGGCCTTCAACCGCGCCTCTAACTTGCACACGCACATGCGCACTCACTCTGATTACAAGCCCTTCTGCTGCGATTTCTGCGGCAAGCGGTTTCACCAGAAAGTCGACATGAAGATTCATCGCTACACTCACACAGGTGAAAAACCACACAAGTGCCAGAAATGTGGGCGAGGATTTAAACAGCTGACACACTTGACCTACCACATGAGGACGCATTCCGAGGTACGCATGTACAAGTGTGAGTTCTGTGGCAAGGGTTTCAACCAAAAGGGGAATCTGAAAGCGCATGTGTACCGCCACACGGGTGAACGACCGTTCAAGTGCGACATATGTGGTAAGGGTTTCACGCTGGCATCCACGCTGAATACGCATAAGAGAACGCACGCCCCTCATAAGCCATTCAACTGCCTATTTTGCGAGAAGGCGTTCTATCAGAAGAACGCTCTGAAGTCACATTACATTGCATCACACCCCTTCACTGGAGGAGTTTCTTTGTTGTAAAATGTTCCTTGGGCGAGAACTTAACATAGCCAAGTATTTTATGCAAATTTTAATAAGGTTTGGGTCGTGGAAAAATAGAAAATGTCAAAAAGGTATACGGTATATGTCAGTACTTGTATACATGTATAAAAAGAAAAACCTTATGAGTTTTTATAAAACGCAACCTCTTCCCCTATTTCGGATGAAAACGTAATGTAAGCCGCAAGCCATATAGAAATTTTCAGTCTGCTATACATTTTATGGTACAGTTTGACGATATGTGTTCTTTACTAAGAACACAAGTCATCAAACTGAACTGTTTCTCATTTCATTGTAATAAAAATAGCCATCAGCTGTACTTTACTTTACCTTATGTTGTAAAATTTCTCTTTTTTCTTAGAAAACTCTGTTAGCTGTAGTTTAAACAACAGCATATTTTCTTATAGTTTTCCTGTATGTTTGTGGTTAGTAAATAAAACTGCCAAATTTAAATTTTTTTGATTTGGTCTGAAGACAATTTGTTTTACAAAAGCAAGAGAGACGAATAAGATCATTATTGACCAAGGCCTTGACCGCTGGCTTAGCGAGACTAGCGTGGATCTCTGCTCAAGCGGTTTTAAATGGTTAGCAACAGGTAACATCGGATGAAGCCAGATTGTTTCTGTCAATAAAATTAGATGAAGAACAATTAAGTCCGACTTAACTGTGTAGTATAAAATAAGATAGATAAACAGTTACCCTTTTCCGACCTGCTACGAAACTTAGTGCCGCGAGTTGCACACACAAGACCGTATGCCCTTAGAACAGGAGAAACTGTTTCTGTGCCTGCCTCCTCAAGAACTAAGAGATTTGGACATTTTTGCACCATCAAATACCAGAATCACGTTTAAAATAGCGAAATGTGATATGTCTTAACATTCACAGTTATATTTACGTGTCATAATTCCGAAGTATTTGAATGTAATTAATGACCCGCCTTGTAATTCATTTTATGCTGCTAAAAGGTTGAATAAACGATCATTATTTATTTATTTTTTTATTTATAACAGAACTGGGAAGCTTTGAACCCAAATCATTTGCTTTACAACCTAAATCCATATCCACTACACAATCGAAGACAAGCTGTCAATCCAGTAATGTATAAAATATACAGGTGCGCATGCCGTATTTGAAAGCTAACCATTTCCAGTTCACTGCTTTACCCTAATCACTCCAGATCTGTTTTTAACTCTCTGGTATGTGTTCTCTCCATAACTGGCGCCCTGTGCTTTTGTTTTTTTCAAGCAATTCTAGAAGGTTGGCGGTGTTCTTTTCCCGCCAGTTTCGTGACGTCAAGAGAATAATGCATTGGTGTCCAATCTGGCCTCACCCGATGCTAACCGTTTGAAGTTCCTGTTCCGACCCTCACTTTTTCCTTCTACTGATTCAATATGACGGGTGACGGGTTCCTGGAGTAAGGGCCCGTAATTTGATTGAATTACCGGCCATAATTAAGCAGGAGGATAGAGGAGGGGGAGCGGTTTTGCACTTTAGGGGTTGCAGGTAACAATAGAAAACCCTGGATACCCCAGTCAATACTTCCGACTTAAACGAGGCAATCCGTTAATAAAATGCTTTTTTTTTTTACTTGGTAGAACACACTGAAGATGTTTAAAACCATAGATTCGAAATTCAAATCGCTAAACAGACAGGGTCTATAGCTTTCCTCCCCTCCTCACGAAGACGGCATTCGATTGGAACTACCAGAGTTCATTTCGTTTTTGCTTTCTTATTTAAATTGTCGATCCCGCTGAGGTTTAAAAAATAATAGCCCTTATTTACACGAGAAAACAAGAAACTGAAGGATTCTGGAAGATATATTTTTTATTTTTATTTTATTAGCTTCGCCAAAAAAAACCAAACAAACAAACAGACAAACAGAAAGAACGTTGGCAGGGACACCGCAACAGCTGTGGCCAATTACGTAGTATAGTAAAACGACGTCACCGTGCAATTGTCTACTGAATCCTTGCGGTTCAAGGGCCAGAGTATTGCCCATGTACTGACTCGACTCAAGTTCTTACCACGCGCGTTTCCATAAAAAGTCGAAGAAAACCGGTAACGAGCCAGGCGTAGGTGCTTAAAAGGAGCCACTGCATTCCGTACAAGATTACAATTGGATCAATTTTACTCTAAAATCCTCCCTAAAAAGTTAAGGTTCGCACACCAAAGACCTACGTAATTTACCTCTTTATTTCATATTCGAAATCTTAAATACACCATTCATCTTTGTGGCTACTATTTAATTAGTACCATGTTAGTATTTTACTTTATATACAGTCACATTACACACAATACGTAACTGTGTACATGTTTGCTCCATTTACCCTGACTCGTCCCCAATCGTCTCTCACAACCTCCCTAGTGGCGCGCAGGGTATGATGGGAAGGAGAAAAGCGAGGGAGAGTCTTCCTCTCTTCTCCCTTCCCACCACACCCTGCTCCCGCCGTGCGCGTTGCGCGAAGACGATTGGGAACGAGTCAGCCATTTAGTCCTGTTAAACGTCATTGATAAAGTAAAATTTTCTCAAATACCAGCAGGAGGGCGCCTAAACTTAAAAAGTAAAAGGAAGTATTCGTGAAAGCTTTCATGACAGGTGAAACTAATATAAGCTTATATATATGCCCGTTTTAAGTATGCGTCCACAGCTCTTCGTACACATTCACAACAAACTCGAAACTGGACCGTTGAAGGTGTTTCAAACAGTAATATACACCTGATTCAATGTAGGTTGCTTTAGCATTGGGAAAATGCGCGCTGGGAAGCTATTGCTTGGCGGTCATTCAAGGAAATCATTGTAGTGAGATTCACGTATGCCCAAATGCCCAATGCCCAATGCCCAAATCCCAATGACCAATTGTCAAAGCAACCTTTATTGAATTAGACATTTACACAATTCATTTTTCCATATCATAGGCGAACTTTGGCAAAATGTTCAAAACTTTGCAGTGAAACCACCCACCTGCGGCTCGTGACTCCACTTGAGTTTTGAACATATTGCCGTCATTTCCACGGTCGATGAACAGCACGGACCATGGAAAATTGTCGCCGATTTGTTAAACAGAAACAGGCAGACTAACAATCACTGACCTGTTTCCGGGCGTGAATTGTGGAAACGTGAACGTGCTCACTGAATGAACACTAAATTGACAGTATATACAAGATGACATTATCTTTTTTTGTTTTATAACTACAAATACGCCAAGAGTCGAACTTCACATTTCACCAAACTTAATACTAATGATCAAAATCTATTGCGCTCACTCATCCGCGGTAGGTTAATCACAAGTGAAGTTCCACAATGGCAAGGGCCTTGGCTTTAATTTAACTTTATTTTTCCCCTTTCGATAGCCTATTACTTCACTAGGTTTTCAACCAATCTCAGACACATTTACTTTAAAACGTTTCTCGGTGCCTTTGCCTGGATACGAGTTTGCTATTTTTACTCAACACTGAAAAACAGACGGGGACACACGCATGCACAAGAGAGTGGTTTAAACTCAAAGCTTAACTCAAAGCAAAAGATTCTAATGGCATGTCTGAAATTGCAGTTCAACTTAATAGTGGAAAGGCAACTTAAATATTGCAAAAGCAGACCACTTTCTGAGACACATTTGTCAAAATATCGAGCTCATGACACATCATTTTGACTCGTTGTTGAAGACAGGAGAAAGACGTAACGTGAAGTAGTTAATACAGAGTTATAGCAAAGTCTTCACACTACGTGTCTGAAATTGTTCTTCACCATAAATTAAATACCTTTTTCGAGAAAAAAAAAAAAAATCTTCAAGCACACTCTTCTAAAATATCTGACCACCTAGCTGGATGAGAGCTAGATGGCTTCCATGACAATTTCACCTTACAGACTTTGCAGTCTAAGGCAACTTAGTTCCCAGACTCCTCTTCCTTCCTCCTTCAAATAGAGGGGACCATGGAAACAAGGCAGGTCTTGACTCATATACTGTCACAACGCATATTTCATTTGGTAAAAACATTGCCAACTAATATTCAGCCCACATTCCGTAAATTGTGCTTACTTTTGCCTATATTCGGTAAACTGTGCTCACTTTTTTTATGAAAAGACAATAAACTTGCTCGCTTAATTGTTGGTTGCTTTGTTTCTTTGTTGTTTATTTTTTCAGTGGCATTTCAGTAACCTTTGAATTATGGAATTGCGTGATACAGACCAAAGTTCATATCAGGACCATTATTCCCTAATGTGAACTGCCGTCTATAAGCCCCGACACTTGTACATGTAATCCCCCCCAGTTATAGACCAACCTTCCTGTAAAAAAAAATTATCACACCCATCTCATCAAATTATAAGCCATCCACCCTTCAAATTTATTGAAATGAATTTAAAAGACCATAATCGGCACTACTATAGGTTTTTTCAAAGCGCTTCCTGTTATAAGACCCCTAGGATATAAGCCCCTCCATTTATAAGCCTTTCTAAAACTCCTTACGAACATGTACAAGGTCAGGGCTTATTAGCGGAAGTTGATGGTATCTGTGTTACGTAGGTACACTAGAGCTGTTTGGTACTCCCTCAGTCCTTTTCGTTGTACCCTGATCCACCACAATCTCAGGCATTTCATCAACTGCATTCACTGGACTAACAGGACTGTCTGGGTCCTTTCCTTCAGGTCCATCTAGTGATGGCCAGCTTGTTGTTTGCTCCAGTTTTTGTAGTCTCTCATTAAGAGCCTTGAGTGCCTTTTGCCTAACAGTATAAAGCGAGAACTTTAGGTTATCGTTTCAGAAAGATATGTATGGACTCTTTGAGCCCTTAATAATGCTTAAGTCAATCTCTATAAACTGAACCAGATGGGTTATGATTTACGGTCGTTTCGCCTACGACTCATTTCGCGAACGCTTGATCAAAAGCTCAAAGAACGACGACAGAGGTATACACATGTGTATCGGACTTTTTCGTGTCATGGCTGAAACAAAGAGGTATATAAATGTGTATATAAGTAGAAGACCCACTCAGTGGGGGATCTAAAAACATATGCACAAGTCACATAACGTCTCAGCTCATCAAACTTCCATCCAAGGGAAACTAATAAAATACAGTGGAGAGGGCATACTCTTGGGGCGGGGACTAACTTACTATGGGCAAAACTACTGATTTCCAGTGACACTATTTATAATGTCAATGACGGTATGTCTGTATCTGAATAGCGTATGATTCTGCATAGAAGGCCTTAAAAGGGGGGCGGGGGAAGGGGAAGGAGGGAATTCAGGCGCACCCTTCCCCTTCTCACGCACTCGAATTCCCCCTTCCACAGGCTAATAACGTATTTACTCGAATAAGCACTGCGGCGGTTATTAAAATTGTTTTTTTGGCGCTTCAAATGTGGCATGTATTCAAGGGTAGCGCTTATTCGAGTTAACACGGCGGTGATTTTGTTACATCTGCGTCCTGCGTCCATGACGCATAAAAATCCCCAAAGACGCAAAATAATTCATGGCCTGCGTCCCGTAGGACGCAAAGTTCGATGGATCGATCTGAACACGTTTTGTACACAGTACCTTCTTCTTTCAGCATCAACAGGATCCATTCCAGGTAAGCTGATTGTAATGGCTGAAGGTGCTCCCACATCATACGTTCTGATCGGTTTGTGGCACACTTTCAGACGGACCAGAGTGTTAAATATAATGGTGGAAAGTGTGTTAACTGGTGATCTGTTTTTACAAAGAAAGAGGAAATTAATAAAAGTGATGAAACCATTCTGTCGAGGTACTTTGTCACCAGCTTAAAAATCCGCGGGTATCTTAAAATCTCTGAGAGATACTTTGGTGAAAAAGTTGTGCGCCGTTACTTAACTCTAGAGCCCTTACTGTCCCTTTGCCGGTTTTATGCGAGAGACGTTAAAGTCGTCTGAGAAGTAAAGTCATCTTAGGATGATTAACGTCCAGTACAAAAAACGGTAAGTAAAACGTCTTCTGTTAAGTGCGTCAAAACGGGGTCAGTGCTTTGTTTTTTTTGTTTTTGAGAAAACTTTTTTTTTCAATGGTACCGTCTACTTTCACGCGGCCCGTTTTCACACCAGACGAATTTAAAGTGAGGGGCATTAAATTCGTCTCTTATTTTACTTTTCCACAGTGGCCATCATTGCTGCTGAGTCTGGAGAATACGGGTTCAACAGCTGTAATTTGAGAAGGCCTCCTATTCTCCTCAAGAAGACCTCTCCTTTACATTGTGCCATGCACCAAAATGTTTGTATATGAGACATAATAACGATCCAACGTTGCAAATGAAAGTTTGCTTACTGTGCAGCTTCCGGAAAGAAACTTGCGCAGGAGAAGCCTTCACTCAGGTCTCCCTTGACTCCTTTTCCACGAGGCTGGTAAAATCTTAAATACACCCAGCCAATGACAGTACCAGATAAAACCATAACCAGAAGAATTATAGGAAGGATACCGATGATACACAGAATACTGTAAACAAGGACAACTATTGATGGAACATGCTGAAAGAGAAAACAATAATTGAATCAAACTGGATCATGTAACTTGAAAATGAATGTCACCACTTGTGTGGAGGACTACAGTCAATCCTGTATAAAGTGGTTACCCTTGGGGAATAGCTCAGTGACTGTTAAATACAGGTTTGACCAACGTAAGACTTAATCAAGACAATGAAATATTGAAGAAGATGGTGTCAGACTGACCTCAAAGTGAGTCTAAAGTGTACCTCTTCTTGTAAAAGACCACTAACTGCCAAACACAGTTTATCTGTTGCATTACAGTAGTATGGTACATCTTGTCAGAGTGACTATTTAATAGAGGTGAAGAAATTAAAAATAACTCCTCTGAAGAGGTGACTGCGACCGCTTAATACAGGTCAGTTTTACAGTAACTCTGGGGCTTTAGCAAGTGACTGTTTATAGAGGTCTACTTAATACAGGTTACATACTGTATAATACTGTACAAATATATTACAAGTGATTAACACTTTTACTTCAGTGTCATAATTACTATGGAGACACTTTCATAATTGACATGGTGATATTCCCCTAACTTTTGAGAGTGTGAACAAAAATCTATGACTTAAGTGACAAAAAAAAACAGACAAACAAACAAAATATGGGTGGCACATCTGGCATGCACTATTTTGCAGAACTCACAATATAGAATAAAGCCTAAATGTTCATTTCTAAGTTAATGATTTTCTTATATAGTTCATTTGTAGATTATTTAAGTGAGACATATATTCATGGACTGTTAATCAGTTTTTCATGAAAGCTGTGTTATTTGCTTATGCTGTAGCACTTTTCAAGTGCAACATCAAGAACTTTAGATTTCAATCCTTCAATTTCACTTATTACCAGTCGGTGGAAATTTTTTGTCCTTTAAAATTTCATAAAAATGCTTTCATATTTAGGCAAAAACCCTACAAAGACCCCAGAGAGAGCACATAAAAGTAAAATAACAAATTATTATTGTTCAACATGAACTTAAAAAAGAACAGAAAAGAAACACATCAGATACAATGTATGTCCTACCGTAAATGGCGTAAAATATATCTAACCATTAGTGTCACCCATTATAAAAAAAATGATTCATGAACAAGGTGAAATAATCTTTTATTTCAAACCTAACATGGTACCCAGGTCTTTCATGGGGCGGACAGATACATTAATTAATTACTGCAAACCAACCTTGACGCGAAGACCAAGAGAAGACATTCCTAATTCTTGCTCAGGTTTAATTTGTTTAAAAGCAACCATCATACCAGATAAAATTCCTGTCATTCCACTAAACTGTAGAAACCTACAGATACAAAAAAGTTATAAGTAAGACGAAAACACAATATTGTTCCTGTAAATGATCTAATAGCAGGGCTGCATTCAATGGATGGGAGGCCTTTAAAAGAGAGATGTTTATTCTCATAACTGTAACAAACTCAACAAAACTAAGTCATGTCCAGCAAATACATACCCACTAATTATAAATGTAGTTATATGAATACTTTAAGACTTACCACATTTGTGTGTCAAATGTCGCAACATAAGCAAAAACACAGACAGCTGACGCTAGCAGTGAGGTTCCTACATCTAAGATTAATACAAATTTCTACAAAGAAAAAAATAGGCAATCTGAATCAAAATTGAATTCAGGGTATAGTACTTTATACCTTTAAACAGTTTGTTTACAAATTTGCATTGGCACTAAGAGAGTAATCATTGAGACAGATGGCTTACATTAAAAAAATCCTTCCATTAATTAACAACAAGAACGTTCTTACAGCAGCATTCAGTCTCGCTTGCTTGGAGATTAGATAGAGAAATGAGGAGGCGATTAATTCAACACGAAACAGGATTTACTCACCAAAGGTTTTTTATTTACTTCCTACTTCAGCGACGTTGAGTATTCTTCAGGATATTTACTTTTTACTTGTTTCTGAATAGATTTACAGTGTACAGCTGTAGTACGAGTGTTAGCGACGACGGGAAATACATCTGCAGTCGCAGGCTATAGTATATGCATGTATAAATACACAAAAATTCTAGGGCCTCAATTCCACAGAAATTACATCATTGCTAGAGATCAAAAAGTGATTTACATGGCACGTCATTTCAATCATTGCCAAAAATAAACCGCATTCTCACCACAAGATCCACTTGCATACAATCAAAGTTTACAACACCCGACCTTTGCAGTTTTGCTAATTAAGATTCTTATTTTTTTTTGACCACTCAGTAGTGTTCACTTGTTCCAAAGTAATCAATGATTTGAAGCGATAGAATTTGTGGACTGGCATGTTTCGGAAAAGCTCTAAATTTAATCTTTCCTAAGCTTTCTTCGCAAAACATGCGTGGCTTCGATCATGCAACGATTCTTATTCTCAGTTTCCACAGTCTCTGCTAAGAATGCCTGGCACAATGACCACCCCTTTTGTGTCCTAAATATGACGAAAAACGCGCTGCAGATTGCAGATTGCTACTTATGCAAGTTAGACTAATAATCAACAAGATTACATTGTAGGTCAGGAAGAGAAGAAAGCAAGACTCTGAGATAACATGATGTTACATAGGCAAAACATAAAATATTTACTTGCTTTATTTACATTTGGACACACACAAATGTTTTTGTAAACTCTAACAACGCCCAGAAGTACACATCAAACAAAAAGTTGATATCATGATATAAATGTTGTAGCTTAGATTTGTTCCAGTTTTAAATAATTTACTTTATTTCCCCGTGATTTGGGTACACGAATGGTTAATAGGGAACATAAAGAGTTTGAAAAAAAAAGGACAACATCTAATCAAGGATAAAATTTAACTACAACATTGACACAGCTGCCTTTGGCCGACGAAATTTGCTGGAAGGCTGTCTGCTTTACTGTAGTTACCCTCTGTTTACACAAGATAGACTTCAGTTATTTAAAATAAAATTTGTTTGCAAAAGCAAGTGGATAAAGAAAATGTGACCAAGGAAGGACAAAAAATGTAAACTACATTGTACCCTCTGCAAACAGAAGTGCAAGGTTTTTTCATCACTTGGGGAAACAGGATGCTCAAGTACCCATCTTACTATTCTAGCATTGGATGTATGAAAATCTCTTGTGCTTGATCTTTCACTTTCACCTGTGTTTACATCACGCATATTAACTAGATCTTCAGTGTATTTACCAGAAATTCAAGTGCTCCCCACAGGGGTTCAAGTAGCTGACCACAAAGCACAAGCACTGCAATATCTATTAGCACCTGAAAAAAAACAAAAACAAGCACTTGACGTTAAAAAGAAATATTACCAAAAAGTGCAGAAGAAGCATGGATGGGAATAAACTCAAGAGGGGTCTTAATTTATTTCATGGATTTTACTCAGGTACATGTTAACTGCAGCTCACTTTTTTTTTTCAAGTTTGTCTCAGTTTGAAAGAGGGTGATGTTTGTATATAAAGCATGCACTGTTTTTGTCAAAAATTTTATTTTAAAAATCACATTTACTGTAAACAGACAAAACCATTAAAAATACATGTGGTTATGGTGACTTAACCTCTAAAAGTGATGACAAGAAACTGTTGCTCAAACTGTGCCAGCTATATGTAGTTAAATGGTGTTGTACAAGAACAACTTATCAGCAAAATGGCATCACTTTTGCATGACTTTGTCAACACATGAAAAAAACTACTCTCTGTACAAATGACATAAGTTACCGGTAAGCATGTATAGAAACTATTGTTTGCAGGAAGGAGGCAACAATTCTTGTGCAAGCTGGAATTAGCAGTGTGCCTACCATTAGTCAGAACTTTGTTTTAAGTATGTTCTTTTCATTGTTATCAATTTTTTCATGTACTCATGGTTACACAGTTATGGAGCCATGCTTCTCTTGGTTGTTATAACTTGTACAAACAGTATTTTCAAAGTATTATTAAACTAACAAAGACTTGAGATGTATCAAAACAAGTAAAAAGTATCATGATTGATCTTTTTAAAAATAATTATGAATCTCATTTAAAGTAAATACAAGGAGTTCAAGTGCAATGTAGTATGTGTTATATCTTGAAAATTAAGATCAGAAAGGCTATTGCAACCCCTTTAATATGACCACCTCATAAATCATGGTTCAATGGATGCATAATAGGATGCTACTGAAAACACAGGTTATTTTTAGAGATGATTTTGGTGATTCAATCTTTAAAATGGTTAGGTTGAAAGCAGGCACTTACATTCCATATTCTATACTCTGTAAAACCTCCTGTAATTAATGTCCATACTCTAAAATGAGGTGGAATAATGCTGAAGAAAACAAGAAAAAAGGAAAATTAAAATACATTCTACAGCTGTATGTGTAACAAAAATAAAAAAAGGTTAAAAAACCTATGGGAAACTAAAAGCATATAGATACTAACACAATGCAATTCTTCTACACATAAACCTGAGAAAGACATGTACAGTAACTGTAAGAAAACATGTTCAGCACCTGAGCATAGCAATTAACCCTCATACATCAATACAATGTAACTTCAGCACGATAAGTAACCAATACAGTCAACTCCCGTCATTGCGAACACCCTCAGGACCGTGGTTTTATGTCCGTAATAGCAAGAGTCGGTTATAGTGGGGCGGGCGAAAAAAAAGTGCTGTTAACATACAATAACATTACAAATAACATGAACTACGTTTGTAAGGTTTTCTTAAATCTTTAATGTGTGTTAAATGTGCTACTTATATGCAAATAACAGCACAATTAAGTAACACTTGCCCATGTTGTGGTAACCCAAAATATCTTGCAAGACTGAACAAACCTAACAGCAGTACAGAAACTGCTAGGCAGTCNAATACAGTCAACTCCCGTCATTGCGAACACCCTCAGGACCGTGGTTTTATGTCCGTAATAGCAAGAGTCGGTTATAGTGGGGCGGGCGAAAAAAAAGTGCTGTTAACATACAATAACATTACAAATAACGTGAACTACGTTTGTAAGGTTTTCTTAAATCTTTAATGTGTGTTAAATGTGCTACTTATATGCAAATAACAGCACAATTAAGTAACACTTGCCCATGTTGTGGTAACCCAAAATATCTTGCAAGACTGAACAAACCTAACAGCAGTACAGAAACTGCTAGGCAGTCGTTGAGAATGGAACACGAGGGCTTGAGCTCAGACTCCCAAAGAGCCAGGAAGACAAAAGTGCAAGCTCAAGTGAAGAAGTGAGGACAGTGATTGTGCAAACAATTTTAGGAATACCGGTAATTTATTGATGTGAAACTGAATCTTTTGAAATGTACTTTGGCAAATGATGAACAGCAGACTGTAACTTTACATAATTATGTTGTATGAGAAGTACAGCATGTCCACTTAATCGAAAGTCAGAACAATAAAATTGTCACTTTAGTACCAAAAAAGTGTCCGTAAGTCTGTAATAGCGGGAGTCATTTCCAGTCAAACCCCTATAGATTTGGCCAGAAATCTGAATTTTGTCCGTAATAGTGAACGTCCGCAATAGCGAGGTGTCCGCAAGGCAAGTGTTGACTGTAGTTAGCATAAGTTATAAAACCTGAAATTTAGGAGCAACTGTTCTTCAAAATAAAGTCTTGAAAAGACGTTTTTTCCTTTTATTAAACTGACAATGTGGATTTAGCACAGTCTGGACAGCATTTAACCTGAGAAAACAGACACCATTTTATCCCACAAAATTAACTCTCAGAAACGACTGCAGAAATTCAAAACTGATGATGTGTCACTTCTCAGATCTGGGAGTGCTTCTGATTGGTTGATTCATTCCTCAGATGTCATTTCATGGGAAAACCAGTAGAAAACCAGATGAAGACTTACACAGCATCAATGCACATTGTAAGACTTAGTATTTGTATTCAGCATAAAGGAACCATCGAATGTCACTGAGAAACTTTCCTATTTGCAGTCCAGTAGTTCAGTTATCATGTGCTGCAATTGGCAGCAAATATCTTTGCACATGGTGTGCAAGATCTCATTGAGTTCTATGCTACGATAGCTAGGCATTTAAATTTTGCCTTTCCAGACAGTGTATGTAGAATTTTTTCTTTGCTTGTTGTTGTTGTTTTTTTTACCTTTCCAAAAATCCCAGTTGGGAGATGGGAAACGAAATAGACTTATTATGGGCATGGTCAAGACAAATTCAAAAACTTGGTGAATCAATAAAGCTTGTTATGATAAAGCTGAGTGCTACGAAATGAGGTATTAAGATTTCCAGACAACTCCACACATTTATCATGCATGCAGCAATTTCATACTACATATTTTGGATAATAGTATGAAATTACTGCACAAAAAGGTTTAAGGCACTATCATCATATGAATAGAGTCGAAACATGTATGCATAATATATGTATGGAGATGCGCGGAAATCTTAACCAAAGTAAAATTAGTAAAATTCATCACACGTGTAACTTACTATCCAGGAGTAACAGCTAAAGCAGCATAAACAGTTGAATCAATGAAAGTCAAACAGTAGAGAAGACATACAGTCGCACAAGAAAACTTCACTACCACCGAAGAATCACCCAGCGCCTTATTTATCTGTGCCTGAAAGAAAACGTAGTAGCTTAGAGAAGATGCTCAAGCCGTTTGCAGTAAATAATTGCAGCAGAAGAAATACATATTTTAAATTACCTTTAGTTGATCGAAGTTGATGGTCGCCATTTTGTTTTGTTTGACCAATACGCAGCCGCAGTAGTGCAGATGACGAGTCAAAACATGACGTGGGCTAGGCCCAGTCTTCTCCATCCTTGGAGACGAACTTTGAGAGCTAACTGAATTTGCCGGGTGAAGTTCTTGTTATTGATATTCACTTTTTTGTTGTTTCTGCACCAATCAACAGAATTCTACGAAATCTGAGTGTTGTCAGCGAGTCTACTGAATAGCTTCACAGTAATAATGATCCTTATTTACTAACAAAATTTCTCAATTCTTTGCCAAACGTCGGAATATCTAGCTACTTTGAAATGGGCATCTCTCTGACATTTCTTTACCAGTAGTCAGAGCAAAGAATACGAAAAATGCTTCGCATCAGCTAACTTTATTTAATTTACAAACCTAACAATCACATAGACCGGACAGTCCATATCGAGAACTCCTTTGCATGTAAATGTCCCGGGGTAAATGTTTGTTTCCGCAGACGGATTTGAATGAGCTTTGCCTTGTTGCTGAAGCCGACATCGCTTATGTTTAGGTAGAAAAAGAAAACATTTCATCTCAAAGTTTTGCCAGACTTCAGATTGACGTTCAAGAGCAAAATGTTTGATTTACTACGCTTGATAACAACGTGAATTCCCTTCAGCGCTCTTTCCCTTCATTTTTGTTTACCTATTGACTTCTGGTTAACCTGAGATCAGGCTCTATTTTCGTTTCGCTTTGAAAATTACATTGGCCGTTAGAGAGAGTGTATGAGAACCGCTAAAATTGGGCCTGATCTCAGGTTAACTTCTGGTCTACTGCTCATGCTCACATGGTCAGCCAATGAAAAATCGAGTTGAAACGGATTATCCCAGAGGTTTTGTTGCCCGTTCCGCTGCACAATGGTAACGCGGTTTCTCGGAACGATATTGAAGATAACGTTGGCCAACCTTGTTCCCAGCTTCTCTCTCCTACCGGTCGAGAGCATTAGAATTAATAGGCTGATTTAGCAACGGAACGGGAACGTCAGTTGACGACGGCGCGCACAAATCAAACAACTGACTTTGGCTTGACCAATATTGAGCACAGGAAGTCGTGTTTAGTCCTTTCCGCGCGCTTTCCCGTCGTCAACTGGCGTTCCTGCCTGTTGCTAAATCAGCCTAATATTAGGATTTGGACAAAACGCGCGTGAAATTATTCCCTTACTTCACCCGTCACCATATCATTTGATTACACGTACTAATTTTAGAAATATACGAGCACTGCTAGTAGCATATTGTGCTACTTTTTCGAGCATAATCCTTCAAATCCTTTGGGACCTAGCCTGCGTGGCAGGCGCTCGAAAGGGAAGGGAAACGGAATTACTTTCCTTTCTCCCTCGCGCGCCCAAATTCCCCCTTCCCCTTTTAAACGCCTGCCGCGCAGGCTACTTGGGACCTGAAAGTAAAATGGGGCGAAATTCGGGACGGGATGCGGGATGCCGAATATAACCATTGGGATTACAGGATTGCGCGAAAATTCTGGTCGGGATGATGGGATTGAAGAATCCTATCGAGGACACTTCCTTATAGAAGCCGGGGGCTATTAAAAAGGTCTATTTTCGTAAAGTAAAGAACTCAAGTTAAATAAAACCAGCTTGTCTCGTTTCAAAAACTTAGGAGAACTCAGTGATGAAATACCTTGGATAATCTCAAGATATCTACTATCCATACGTGCAAGCCACCACGAACTGGCTCATTTTCATTCGAAGAAGTTGAACAGTAGGCCAGTAGTTAAGAGTCATCAGTTTTGTTTCGCGCCTACAACAGCCTCCACATGTCGGATTTTGCCACGTTTTGCCCTTGCATCAGTGATTTTTTTTTGTTTTAGGGAGGTAGAGCGATGGTAAAACAGAGGTGCACAAAAGCCAGTTACTATTTATTTATTCCTTCATTTATTTCTTTCTTTCATTATTTCACTGCAGTGTTTTTAGAGATTTCCAATAATTCGGCCTAAGGTGGAGCTAAATCTACCCTTCATTAGAGTTGATTCTTTTGGATAGAGCCACTTTTTAAAAGATAAAAGTCCAAAAATTTCGAGTTATTTTAATTACATAAGTGGTAGAGCTAAAATTAATAACTTCAAATAAAGGATAAAAATAACTCCATTGTTAATAACTCCATTGTCAATAAGAGATATTTTAACTTCAGATTTGAAGTAAATATTGAGTTGAACTGAACCCCTAAAGATGAACTAATTTGTACTTAAACTTTTTAAGCTTTTATCGAAAATTTACTGTGACTGCATTTTCCGATTTAAACCTTGAAGGCTTTGCTTGTTAGGTCTTGGAGAATTCTAATTTGTATGGTTTTTGTTATTGATATTCACGTCTTTTTTTTGTTCCTGCGCTGATCAAGAATTCTGCTATATTGCTGTCAGAGAGACTACTAAACAGTATACAGTTGTAATGATCCTTCTAGGAGCTGTCTCACGTGACTCAAGTGAAGCTATAATTATGACCACTTTACCTGAAATAGAGTCAAAATACGCATCTGCTTTTCATTGGGATTCATGGTTATTGTCAGCGTTTCGATGGAATTCAAATATACAGTATTTCCTTCGTCTCGTTCCACTTATCATTTATATATTGAGCAATATTTGAAAGACGTGACGTCAGTTTTCAAGGGTTTCAGGCCTCATGCATTGGGAGGGTTTTTAAAGCGTTGCAAGTGTTTATTAGTTGCATTTGATCACGAGGAACAAAAACAACACCACCAAACAACCAGGTCGACTACTGTAGTGATGAAGTTCATTTTGTTTTTCGTTTTCGTCTTTTCTTTCCACGTGTTGACGCTGTTGGCCTAGAATATTCCCCACCAAGACGATAGCAGCAAAGTACTTGCGTCGAATCCAGAAAGTGATATGTCGGTAAATTATCGTTTTGATCCGCAAAACAGACGCCTTCCAAAAGGTTGGCTGACTCGTGTACAGTGTGCTTATTATTCCTCACTCTTCCTACAGTCGATCATAAAGTGATCTTGACAACTTATCCTGCGTGTATTTTAAGGACCAAGCTAAATTTTCTTTATTTTTTTGGTAGTCAACAACTATATCTCCTTCATAGAAATTAAGAACCTTCTTAAGAACCTACTTAGCCTAAATTGGCAATAACTACCCCAAAATAGAGATTTTTGCCAGACTTCAAAAAATGTAGGTTCTTATATGCGGGTGTTTACTGTATTAGTCTCCATCTTCAGGAAAAGAAGAGCAAACGAAAGCTGCGACCAGTTGAAAAACCGCCTTAGGGTGGATTTCCACTCTCGCGCAATTTTTACGTGCGCACGCACGAAATTTTACGCGCGTAAATAAAATACAGGCGATGTATGGAAGGTCACGCGTAAACGTAAAAGGTGAACCTCGCTCAACTTTTACGTTTAAGCGCGGCTAAGCGCGGCCTTTCATACATTGCCTCTATTTAATTTACGCACGTGCCCACTTAAAAATTACGCAACAGTGGATAATTCACCCTCAGGAACGAAGAACCTCTCACTAACTGAAGAGAGACGATTTCACTTTAGTGTGCTCGCGTGTTACGTTTAGCTCGCTGTGAACTGATTAGGAAACTGGTAACTCTGATACTGATTCAAAGTGACTCAATAATTTCATAGTTTGTCTACAGGCAATATGGAATGTTTTTAGTAGCTGAATAAAAGGCACCAATTTGGATTAATAATCTTTAACTCTGCTGAGAAGACTCGATGTTTAAGATATAGAATTAAGACTTTTGGAAAAGCAAAAACAACGAGATAAGGTGAGATTTCATTTCAAGTTTTAATTAAATTACAGGTAGAAAACCAGACTGTCTAGGACACAAAAAGTATCTTAATTGATCTCCGTTAAATCGACTTTTCAGGTCGCTGGACCAAAGTAAATACAAGGCCGGTGTGTTTTGGAACCAGAAAAAACCAGTTTGGAAGATTCTACGTTCGAAGGGGTAGGTTAATCGCCATAAAGCTGGTTCATCGGTACGGTAGCGTGACTTGCAACATAAACGACGTCAACTCGCCTTTGTCTAACTGGGGCTGTGGGAGCACCGAGGTTAACGTGGTTGTTACAACCTCGCGCAATACTATACTACTAACACCAAGAAAGTTCCTCAGTAAAGACAAGTTCCGCGCCCGGCTGAAATGGTCAGTGATTCCCGGATATAATTCCTTTTCGCCGAGGCTTGTTCTGCGGTTTTTCCCGTCTCCTTTTCCAGTGTTAAGGGGCCGAGAGTTACGCTTGTGGTACGGTGAAGACCTGATGGATTTGGGCGAAGAAGACAACCGAGGATCATCGTGCGTTGATGTTTTTGCTCTTTATGCATGAAGAGGCGCCCTTACTGCCTTTTCTAAGGGGTAAAATTGTGTAAGAGGAAATGAAGAAATTTTGCTTTATCGTAAATTTCACTGGACTTTTGTTCGACTTGAACTGTGCTAACTTTGTAATGTCCATTTCAAACTTTCTTCCAATACGTTTTTTTAAATAAGGTAACCAAGTAAAGTTTTAGTTTTAAAACATGTAAATGAGTCCTACCTATTGTAACAGTGTAGCAGTAAACTGACAATGAAAGAAAAAAATTTGTCTGAGTTGTCTGATTTTTTTTAGCGGCGCAAGCGGAGTGCGCGTAAGATATCAGGGCCATCATTAATGAAAGAAAATACCGAGAACCAACGGCTGACTATTTTCAAGAGCGTATTCAATGATAAACACCTCTTTTCTCGTCTTTAGACAGGACAATGCAATTCAATTTAGGAATGTGCCAAAAACATAGACATTCATTTAGATACCGATAGACGACTGATTTTTCCAAATTAAGTTTTTGGGATAAAGACTTTGAGAATGGAAGGATCACTTTTACACTATAATTGACAATTCATAACTGAGTAATTCTCTGAGAAACTGGGGCAAACTTGGAAATTTTTGTTCTTCCAATAGCCACCGGCCTAGCTCCTTAGTTTTTGGCTTGAAAGTAGCTTACATGGCGAAATCATGATAAACATATGACTCGTACATCCGCCAGTCGATATTTTTGTCCCTTCTATGTTCTATGAGTCCTTACGAGCTATTTAGAATAGTTTACCTTTTATCGAGTTGCCATTAATAACATATGGATAGTTTTAATATGTTCATTTTCACTGTCATCATCGTCATCACCTTCAACAAGATGGTCATCAAATTCAACCCACACGTGTCATATTTTGAAGCTTAAGCACAGATTCAGCATGCGACGGTCCAAAACAAAGTTAATAGTTTGCTGGTCGCCGCTAAGCCATGACTGAGTGTGTTAAGGATTTCCCTGCTCTACTGTTAGCTTTATACAAGAGAGGAAGGGCGATTCTTTTTTAATTTCGGTTTCGCTGACACAGCTTTCGCAGAAATCTCGCTGTAGTCGTTTTCGTCGACAAAAGGAATTCCAAAATCGCTCTCCGCGTCTTTCCCCATTTTGTTCTGCGTCATTTCGTGAAGGACGCGTGGCTCTCAGCGTGGGTCATCCACGTGGAACACATTCGCGTTATGTGATTGGCTGTTGTCTAATCCCCCTTGAGATCTGTGGTGTTAAAAATAACTCGAGACGAATTACCTATGGAATAGGGTGTATATGGGGGATGCCCTCTCTGTCCCCTTTATAGTCTCTTGACAAAATGTAATAACATGCCCTTGCTCGAGGACATTTTTAGGAGACCTGTTTTACAGATTTTCGTCCGTATTTTTTTTCTCAGTTCACTTTGGTACCAAATGGTATTGCATGCAGTTTGAGGCAACAATACTAACACCTATGACCCTTTTGTTTTCCGATCCCTTTGTTTTAGTTCTGTGTAAATTATCTCTGCACCATTAATGGTTTCAGTCAAGTAGGGAGATTTCGAAGAATGCTGAATGAGGTCGGGATAGGAGAGAATAACATGGAGCTTAAGCAACTACGACGACGACCACAACGACAACTTCAAAAAACAATTTGTTTTATGAGCAAAACAACAGCTCTGCTCGTGCATCATGCTTTTTGTAAATTTCTTTGACTTCCACTGCACGACTATAGACGTCCCCCCTCCCTCAGAAAAAATCGGGAGAAGAGATTTTTTTCCGATTTTTTCTGAGGGAGGGGGGACGTCTGTACACAGGCTACACCACTACGACGAGACACCTCGGCTGATGCGACGTTTTAAAGAGGACGTGGACACCTCACGACGAATTCTCCTTTCTCTTTTTGAACCTGAATATTAAAGTTCTTAATAATTCAACTCCAGGAAAAGTCGCCTGCATTTGACATATTGAGAGGGTTCAAATATACGCGATTGAGTTTGAAAGAACGCAAATTCATTTTTTAGCGACGTTTTTACTGCCAATCGACGTCGCCGTTGCCTAAGCTCCCTAATGTTCCTATGGCAGGCTATGCCGACCTCCTATGCCTTTCCCACCTCCTCTGCAGCATAGATAATAAACACATCCTTCTCAAGGACGCGATTACGCGTGTCATATTAAAAAAACATCAACGAAGCTGGACAAACAAATTGATTACGATTGAAAAGACCGTTTCCTACTTTTTTGAAGTACATTTTAGATCTTTCTACAGACTACCTCACTAGTTCGCTTGGGTAGCCTGTGGATAATATGAGTTTCTTTAAGGCCGGAAGCACATAAGGTTTAGCATGTCCTTGTTAAGCACTAGGGTGCAATACCGATGAATTAGAGACTAACTACATGTACTTAGCGTTTACTTCATTAAAAAGTTATCATGTTACATAATGGCTATAAAGTGCTTCTAAATAACTGTGCATATTGTAGTCAAATGACAACCAAGAAACGGACTTCAACCAGTCAAGCCGACAATTGATTCTCCATTGTTCTAGTTTACTTCTAACCGAGTGGTTTTTGTAAATAATTCACTTAGCCATTCTAAGAAGGTTTGTCATCAGCTAGATGCATTTTCCGTCTCGCTAACTTCTTTATCGCCAGTTAATCAATCTAAAGTACCGCGATGTGTAATCTACGCTTTTATTCGTGCAGTAAATGACCAACGGACCCCGACTCAAATTTTAACCTCATAAAAATGCTTGACAGTTTAAAATTCTAATTACATGTAATTAGTTTCTGGAAAGTCTACCTTCGTCATGCCATTTGATTCACTGAAAATTTTCTCTTTTTTTTTGTGGCATAAGTAATCTGCATTTAAAAATTAGTTATTAATAATCTTTTTCAGATTATTGCAAATAGATGTTGCATCATTTTTACCTTGTATCCCTTCTTTAGATTATTAATTTGAGCATCACGGAAAGATAAACACTTATTGAACTTGATCGAGGAATCAGAGGAGTGTTTGTTTAGAAGCATGCATTGGAAGATAACAGGTCGTTCAGGGCAATAATGTTGAAGAGTGCTCAAGAATGCCATAGACAAAGTAAACAAAACTAATCTTGAGATGGACAGAATACATCAATGTTGACACAAAGCATCGTTAGTGCATTCATAAACTTGAGGCTTTAATAAGCTCTAGGAAGCGAGGATTTAATAAGTTTATTGAAAGATGATGAAAAAAATGATAAAGAACACGAAATTGGGCAATCAAAGTCTAAAGCTGTAAGAGAAGGTGGCTACTTGTTCGTTAAACTGAAAATGCATGGAAGAAAAAAACTGACGGCTAGAAAAGAACTTACCCAGACTATAAAACACACAGGTGTGCTTAACCATCATGAAACTCAGAGACTTGGCTCGTCTGTGGACAAGTTTCAAAAGGAGTTCGAAAAGAAACTCAAGGAATTGTCGGTTCAACAATCGCAGCTCATTGCTTCGCAGCGACTACGAGATTCACGCCGAGGGTCCCTTCCATCTAGTCCTTCAATTAAACTCGGTGAAGAAGAAGAAAAAAAGAAAGATGTAATAAAGAGCTCTTTCTCTGATTCTGCTCTAGACCAGTGCGCAATGGTCGGCAACGGAAACGCTACGTTAAAAGATCCGAGGTCTGGGTCAAACACAGGCAACAATACCCTTTCGTCGCTGCCTCTAAAACTGCCAAGAATATATCGTAACTCTCGCAAGGATGGATCGAGAGAGATTGAGATTGAAGACATTAAATCGACCGAGAAGTCAGTTGAAAATATATTTGATAAGCTCAAGTACTCAAGGCAAGCTTTAGATATGACGCGAAAACTGTCTAATGGATATTCAGCAATGATTACGGCTTCTCCGCCAATAATGAGATCGACCCGTCGTGCTAGTGTACAGGCAGCTTCAACATTGGACGTTGAAGAACACGTTCCGAACCGTAGAAGACTTATAAGAAGAGGGAGCTGTCCTACCCTGGGTACAAAATGGCGCATGGAAGCACGTACAAATGACCTTATCTTAGAAACAAATGAAGAGGAGAAGACGGCAGCGTTTTCAAGGCACTTGGAAGAAATGAAAAAATGTCGATATTTAAGATTTCCAAAGTCAATTAAGGAAGACGATGAGGAGGAATTGGAGTCTCTTGCCACTGATGCATGAAGATTTTTCAACATAAGAACAAAAAAAAATAGTTTTTCATGGACACGACGACACTATCCGCGACTGCTTGTAAAGTAATACTGCTTTAGCTGAACGCAGCGTGTGTTTTGGGTTATAATAGGAGCTGATACCTAGGCTCCTGAGCTCTCCTGGTTATAAAGAACTGTCACAACCTGCATAATTCATCCCCAAGTTAAAATAATAGCTTCTGTAAGATTTCAAACTTTGTGAACTAAGTGGGAAGTTTTTTATGCACTTTTCTTGTCCAGAAATATATCACACTAATGAGAATTATATATTTTCATGGTGTGGATGTTTGAAGTTCAAGAACTCGTCATAAAAATGTAAGATAATAAGGTAAAATATTGAGGTCGCATCATCAGGGGATTACAGAGCAAGAAATATGAAACAAACATGCATTAATTTTTCTTTGGACATAATTTATTCTAAATATGTTGATGAATTCATCTACAGCATAACAAATACTCAAAAATTGGAACATTTCCTCGAAAAAGAGTTTTTACTTCTCAATCGATCATATATTTTAAACTATAATTTAACATTAAATAGCCGACAAAAACTCTCTCATTAAAGTGATCGAAGATTCCAAGGTACTGTCCACGCGCGTTGAAACGCCGCTAGGGTACGCGAAAGCCCTATTTGCGCACAAGTTTCCATACAGCAGTTTTCTTTCGAGACCATTCACATGTAAAGCTTTAATCTGGATAAAGACGAAGTGCATGTTAGGTCTAGACGTGGAATGGCAATATTACACTAATTTTAAATTGTCTGACGACTTACAATGTAATTAAAACAGGTTTTTTCACAAAATAAAATCAGCGACGTACAGAAAACCATAATGAGACTAGCTTTTCCATCGTATTCACTAATGCTTATTTTAGCTTGCCATTCCGTGCTTCTAAATTTCAAGTAAACAAGAATCAATAAGCAGCTTTTGTTTTATTTTCTTATCAGTCCTGAGAAGCTCGAAGGCTACTAATAGAGATCTACAGAAACCGCGAGGTAGCAAGAACTGAGCGCTTTGTCTTCCACACGATGTGACATCAAAGTAGTGAAAGTTCCTAATGTTACTGACTATTTTGTTATCTACCGATAACAAAAACACAAATAGAAGCTTTTTCATATCATTGAGTAGTTTGTGAGATTCTCCTCGAAATTAATCAATTTTGTTGTTGATGTTGTCAACGATGTCTTCTTTATGTACTCTATACAATTTACCCAAATAATGCATTCGAAACAAAAAGCATTCGCTATTATAATGTATTGCTTAAGTTTCAAATAATGTTTGCCCTTGTTCCAAACTGGATAAGAAAATTTATTGCTTACGCCATTCTATTGTTAAATTTGTCAGACCAAACACAAGCAAAGCCATCAAAAGCACAAATTCTAATCAACACTTTTCCTAACAGTTGCCGGAGAGTACCTTAGAAACGGCTAAGAAAAAATCTGGACAAAAAACATTAACACTTCAATAAAGTAAATATTAAACACCGACTCTCGTTAAGGAAATTACTGGCGTAGAGTACCATTATTTATGAAAACCTAAGGTTTTTTCTGTTTGCTTGTTTTTCTTCGTCTTTTTAATTAATTTGCAGCTAATTTGTCAGGTCATACATTAAGGAAAGTAGAAGGCTCTTGAGTTGTTGCACATAATCCCGAAAATATTATGAACGCTTTACTAGTCAAGTAGAAAGGTGAAGTTAAGCCGCCGAGCAAAAAAAAAACTAAAACAAAAGCTAAATTACGGAAAATGGGAGAAATCTTTGTTTCGTTTACGTAACAGTTAAATCTTATTTATTAAAATTGTTGAACCTTTCGCAACGTTTTTTCTTTCTGATAGTCCACTTGAGATCAAGTCTCGCCGTCCTGTTTTATTTCAACATCGCTTTTTTTGTCATGTTTCTCAAAGACGAGGAAAAATTTTAACCTTACTTCTGCACACAGGAAAATGTTGCGCCTCTTTGCTTGCTTAATTAACGAATGCATGATTAAGTTTACAACTTTGATTCATCACCAGCGTGGCTGACTTTCACGTAGGTCTCGTTTCTTTGTGTGTTATCGGCAAAACTTGAGTTTCGAGGACTAACTTGTCTTCTTCCAAAGATGGCTTGAAAGCTTCGACGATAAGGTTGCATTCTCCACGCGTATAAAATCGGATTGAAGGCAGAATTACTGTACAGGATTGGGATGGAAAATCTGTAAGAAGCAATATACCATTTTTCCTGTTTGCAGCTCTTGCAATATCTACCAATAATTGTCAAGGACCAGAAAGGAACGAGGGATAGAACAAAGACGAAAATAATCAGCATAGCGGTTTTCATCAGCTCTATTTGCAGCTTTTCCGATTTTTTTGATACTCGTCCTTCCTTGGTGGCTTTGTTTGCACTATGAAGTCGATGCAGCCGTTTTGTTTTGTCTTTTAAGACCCAGTAGGTTGCGCAATAAGTGACACATACGGTGAGAAGTGGAACGACAAATGTGATATACAAAAATATCACATCGTACACATCGCGATCAACTACCAACTCAAGACAACTGCTTATGATCGCGATCAGCCAACAGGAAACGCATCCCAAAGTTACCTTTCTGACGGTCACAGAAAAACGATAAAAGTAAGGAAAGACGACGGCTATGAAACGCTCCACGGCAAACATCGTGATAATAAACACGCCGGCGCGCACGGTAATTTGCGAAATGATTTTCGCTTGAAGCAAAACCTTTTGAATGGCAAGTCCTTCCAGAATGTGGGATATCCCAACATCCACAGCAGTAACACATCCCGTCAGAAGATCAGCAAAACCCAGCGAGATGACCAGAACTGCGGTGGCGTTGCGAAAAGTCTTCAGGGGATCTTTGTATATCATAAATAAGAGCACTCCATTAGAAATGGTTATGAGAACGGCAAATAAAAGAAGTATGGCCCCGTTGATGATGAAGATACGGGATTTGAAGTCTTGATCCGGATTCAGTATCATCTTGTTTACTATTGGCGTTGCTCTGACTGATTCTCGCTAGACACACGGTTGAGTTTAATGACGAAATCAGGATGAAGTGTTAACTATCTGCCAATTTGTGACGATAGTGCTGAAAAATAACACTTATTCCCCGTTAACAGTCTATATGGCAAATTTAAAATAAATCTAGCCCTCGTTAAAATGAACGACCGACTCGCACTTCTCACGAAAATGCAAGTTGTGTTATATTTGCGCAGGTGTTGTCTTTGTATACCCTTAAAAAATACCTTGAACATTTATTGTTGCTTGTAATTTATGCAATAATCCGTCTGTGTGTAAAGTGTTAAAAATGGATTTACACTTAATTTGCAAATTGTAAGGAATTTTCCAGTTTTCCGGCAATGTAAAAAAATACCCAAAAGACGTAAAGGGAAGATTTTTATACAGTGTATTATGAGTTCACTTAATCATCTTGACTAAGAGTTATGGCAAGTATTTGCTGTTTTTTTTTTCATATAAGTCAGAGTGTGCAGGTGAATCAGCAAATCCGACACTGAGTTTTCCTCGTTCGGTGACTAGATAAGCATAAAAAGCCCTTAAATGATTCTATTGAATTTTTATTGTGCGTCGTTACTGGACTTTATTTATTGCTTCCTTTGCGTGCATACGGATCAAGCGGCAGTGCCAGTTGGAGCCTAAGATTAGAGGCGAAATTCTTGGATAAGGAGTTTGGTTTCTTAAGAACGTATTGCTTTTCACTGAACTAGACTAATATATACTTTCGTGCGTTGCGTGAAATCCCGAAGTATCTTTGGGACTATCGTGTTTTAATTCCGTATAACACATGGCTTAGGCTATTATGTTCCCTTTTATTCATGCATTAATGAATTATTTCTCCAAACTGACAATTTTGTAAATTTTAGCCAAAAAGTTGTGTCCCCATATAACTTAAACGTGTACCATGTTTTCTTTAGAGCCTTAATTTCAATTTATGTACCTAAGCTTTTCTTGAAATGGTGCTTTCAACTTCAGCTACCCCTGTTCAGCTTTTTAATCTTAGTTTAGAAATCAGCGCTTTTGCCATTCAGAGCCTCAGTATAAGCATTAAGCGGTGTAGAGACTTCTTATTTGAGATCTACCGGCAAATAACGCAATTTCTGGCTGTAAAATGAACGAGAAAACCTTTATACTGCAGTGTGTGTGTTTACAGGGTGTCCCAAAAGTTCGTTACTCTAATTTCATGCGTTATAACTTTTGATCAAAACTTTATTCTTGCATGAACTTTCTAGAAGGTATTTATTGCTCTATTGAGTGCATGTATTCAGAATTTCAGTAAGGCCCGGTTCAAACGTCGAACTTTTCATGTGCCGAACCTACTACCTCAAATTTAGGCCAACCCAAACTATTAACTTCGACTGTTGATTCAGACGGTCGAAATTTACATGTGCCGAACCTAATTCCTGGCGAAGAAAAATTTCATCCTTATTGCTTTAAATAGCGAAATAAACTGAAAAAAAGGAACTATTCACCAAGCCTGGAAATCATCCTGTTTTGATGTTAGTGTGATTTGTGCTCTGTTATGGCAAGGAGACAGCTGAGGAGATCGCGATATGAACCTGATATGTGGACAAAATAAAGGAACGCCATAAATTTTAAAATACAATACGATTTCTTAATGGATATAAAGAATACAACTTTTTAGAGAAGATCGTTTTAAGCTGTCAGGTTTCAGTCTAAAAATCTACAACGTGAATGCTGGTAATCGTCGTTACGCTTCTATGAGTTTTACCCGCACAGGCGCGAAAATCCACTAAATAGCCAGAAGCGCTGTTATATTGGAAAATACGTTAACATAATTTATGCATTAGGTTCGGCACATGTGAAGTTCGGCGTATGAATCGAAGTCGATCTTTTGCCGAGAAGCTCAGTCGAATAGAACGGCAGAGTCGACCCAAATACAAAAGTGCCGTTCCTAATTGATTCATACTTTACATGTGCCCAACCTAATAATTAGGTTCGGCACATGTAAAGTTCGACGTTTGAAACGGGCCTTAAACGGCATTCCCCCTTCGTCATTTTATCACATTCTGTAGCCGTTGCAGCATAGAGTGGGATACAGCATGTAGAGCCACAGATGACTCTATTTTAAGCTTTTTCACCTGGAACGCAGGAGCCACTGCTCCACTTCGACCCCCCAGAACATTTGTTTTAGTTTAGGCACCTGGAAAAATATAATACTTCAAGCATTCATCCAAAAAAAGATAATCATCCCAGCCCCCTATTCACAGTAACGCTTTTGTACCTCTTTACAAATTTGAGACGAGCTGATCGTTGTTTTGCAGACTAAGCAGAGGTTTTGTTGCCATCTTAGGGGCCTCTAACCTGCGCTTTTCATGAAACCGCTCTAGACTTGGCTTGCTAACTTTTATGAGAGCTAACTCGTCGAGTTGTCTCTTTTGTATCTAACCTTCTTCAAAACTATTTTAGCCGCTTTATTCAGGACTATCAGTCTTCCCCTTCTTTTTTTGTCATCAAAACCTTCATTTCTTGATGACCATTTCACCAACGAAAATTCGGATTTTTCCATTTTTTATCAGTTATTTCTACTGATAAGCCGGTAAATCGAAGTAAACATGCTTACGCTCTCACGCAGCTGAACGTTTTTGCGTTAAGAGGTTTTTTGCTTTCATGATATTCACAAAGAAACAAGGAAGGAGTTTGAGCAAATCGGGCTACTAAATACAAAAAATATGTGGCGGGAAAATGTACTCGCACACGCGCACCCTTGGCGCAGAAGTACACAGATCGAATATTAGAGTCACAAGATGGCACAACAAGTATAAAATATTAAACTGTATTGAAAGATACAACTTTTGTTTAAGCGATTTGCTTACCAATTCCAATCGTACTACATTACAGTCTCATAAAGTAGAGGAACGAACTTTTGGGACATCCTGTATTTACCTGCAAATCACTGACATCTCTCGCTTTAAAATTCGGGCCACTATTACGCACTGATAGCTCCTGATTAGGCTTAGTACAAACGGTGTAGTTTGGTTTAGTTGGTGTAGTTTGCTGTAGATTGGTGTGGTTGATTTAGTTTGGTGTACATGTACTTGCTGTAAAGTGCTGCAAATGGTGTAGTTTGGTCTACGGTTGGTGTAATTGGCGTATATTGGTATAATATGCTGCAGTTTGGTTTAGTTGGTGTAGTTTTGTTGTAATTGGTGTACCGCAGTAGTTGGTGTAGTATGTGTACAGTACTTGGTGTAGTTTAATATAGTTGGTGTAGTTTGGCGTAGCTGCTGTAGTATGGTAGTAGTTTGATGTAGCTGGTGTGGTTTCGTGCAGTTTGGTGTAGTTGGTGTTGTCAGTTTTAAAACGCTCTTTTGTTTATTGCTGTTACTTTACAGTGAGAAACTTGTAAATGATTCAATCACACATATCGTTTATAATTAACAACTTAGTCAGTGTTATTCTAAGCTTAGTCTTGGTAATGGCGTCCCTCTGCCGTCGATGTGTCAGCCTTTCACATTTATTTTTGCACGTTTATGTAATAATTAAAACACCAGTACTGTTATATCACCGATGCTTTGATAAACAGGTACTGTGAGTGTTTTGAACAGCTTAAAAAACGCCCTCGGAGTGTTTCATTTTGATAGGATTGCTAAATTATGAAATGCTTTTTCCAAAACATGATTGAAAAATGTCAAACAAAAGCAGCCATTATGGTAAATGTTGGGCAGAAACAAATAGTTAAGAATAATCATTGTGCAAGCGTCTGCTGCTCTTCGTAACGGTGATCAAAATGTGAAAAATTTCCAAAGTTAATAACCGTACAAGAGGAAACAATGTTCGAGGAATTGCAACGCGACATACTAGTCGTTGAAAATTATAAAGTTTACGGAATTGAAAACTGTTAAGAATTTACTTGTTTGTTTATTAATTTAACCAAGACAGTCTTGAAATAGTAACAGCCGTTTATTTATATGCACTGCTTTTAGTGTGTTTTGGATGGACATTTTTTCTGTGTTAAGAGGACTGTTTTATCAGGGACCGCGGAGACCATTTTAAGGTGGTAGGGCTAAAAACTCTGCCTAGTATAAAGAAACATTCAGGTCGGTGTTTCGCCATTTATCTTGCATTTGCGCGCCATCTTATTTACCACCTCAACAAATATAACATAAACGTCCATACGTGTTATACTATCCAATATAGCCAATATGTTAAATAAACCTTCTGAGGTTGCTACTTTTTGAAGTTGCCCAAAGTGCCGAAGTTTCTCTTGCGATTCTTATTGCAGGAAACAAACTCCTGTGTAGCTATAGAGACACTGTCTATTCTCCGCTTGTGACCATTCAACACTGCTTGGTCACCCATCCTGGTTAGAAGTCACGTCTTCAGACGCCGTGCAGATGAGAATGAATGCTCGTCAGCAGCGCTGGTTGCAGGATTTACAGCAGGCAGCTTAAAGATAGTTTGGGCTTTCCCTTACTTTTGGAAACTTTGACACCGCCAACAGGATTTCGTCAAAACATGCAATCTTCTCCTATAACATAACTTCCAAAATACTTAGTTGCATGCCCAGGTAGCGCCCCTGTATCAACATCTTCTCTGTGTGATGCTTCAAGAAACTTGAACTCTGCCTCATAGTCGACACCATTAGCAGCTTTAACCAAGAGGGTTTCCATCTGGGCGTAGGAGCTGAAGCTTTCCTGATAGATAGCACTGACGATAAGATCAACAGCCTCATAATAGACCCTTCTAAAGTGATCTTTGGCAGTTTGGGGGTAGCTTGGTGCACCAGCACCAACCTCCAGTCTGGCCAAAGTGCATCGCTTTCTTGGAAAGGTTGGTTTACCAAGCAGGCCTTCGCTCTTGCGCGAAATATTAGCATAGAAATGGTCCAAGCTTTGATCACTGGGCATTTTTTTGAGCGTCTCCTTTGTTAGATATGCCAATGTCAGGCCTTGTCCACTGACAGCAGCCACCTTAGTACCCTTAAGATCATTAGATAGATT